TTTTAAGTTTTATTGTGAATTATGTGACAGTTTACATGGGAGAACACCAGTTTTACATTCATCCTATCGTATATTGTTTTATTGCCATGGTTACAATCCCCTCCACGCATCATCAATCAATAAAAGGGTACATCCTATAAGCCTGCTTCCTCCCCACCCCCCACACCCCAGTCGTCAGCACACAGTCCCTCTTCCTCCCTGGATCCTGAGTCCCCAGCTGCTCCATCTCTCCACATCAGCCATGATATTTTCAATGATCTCATATGCATGCTAAAGTTGGACAGTAAATAAGGAAGACCATAGAAAAATTGGTGCAGTTGAGTCATGGTGTTGGAGGAGACTATTGAAAGTATCATGAACTGCCAAAACAACAAATATATCTGTATTAGAAGAAGGACAGCCAGAATGCTCTTTGGAAAACATGATGGCCCGACATCATCTCTCATACTTTGGACATATTGTCAGAAGAGACCTGTCACTGGAGAAGGATAGCATGTTTGGTAAAGTGGAAGGTTGAAGAAAAAGAGGAAGACCCCCTGTGAGATAGATTGGCACAGGGACAACATCAACAGACTCAGGGGTAGCAATGATTGTGAGGTTGGCCCAGGATCGGACAATGTTTCATTCTGTTGTGCATAGGGTCGCTATGAGTCAATACCGACTCAATGGCACCTAACAACGACAGCAACAACAATGTAGAATTGGTTTGGGAATTGGGTAATGGGTAATGGCTGAAAGAGTTTTAAGATGCCTAATAATAAAAGCCTACATTGCCTTGTAGAGACTGTTGGTAGAATTATGTCAGATATAGTGCTGGAAGATGAGACCCTCAGGATGGATGGCATTCAAAATGCCTTTTTTGGTGAGTCATAAAGTCAATTTTGTCTTAGACAATATGCAAAGCACTAACAACAGAAAGTTGCTAGAAATGTAGAGGTCAAATATACTTCTTATGAGTCTCTAAAAGGAAATACTTAACATGTGGTTGGAAAGATGATGCCTTTTATGCAGTGGCAAAGAACTTGTCTGAATTATCTTCAATATTTTTTGTGGAAGGTAGACCTTATAAATGATAAATTTGGATATTCAGCTGAGATTTCTCTGAAGGATCTTAAAAGGGTCATGTAGTCTCTCTATGTCACTTATAATAAAATGTGAGACGAAAGAGATGCACTTAAAAGTAAATTGAGCAAAATAAAAACGTGGAATTTAAAGATTTGGATATTTCTGTTATATAATCTAATGGCACGTTTCCTAGAATGTCTACTAAAATGTGACTACACAATCTTTTGTTAGTGAGATTAAGCCTGTGACTGATGGATCTCACCAGTGACCACAACAGAAACCGTGTCATCTTAGTTGGGCTCCAGGAGACAAAGAATAAAAAGAGAGAATTTTGTATGAATGAAAAGAGAGAATTTTGTCTGTGTCTTGGAATTTTAAGGCATGAAACAGACCAAAGGAACTACAACTGCTGTTCATCAGGAAAAGAAAAGGCCTATCACTGGAACCGCTCAGAGTTCAGCAGAACTGTTAGAAGGAGTGCAGGAATCAGATTCTTCCTGATTTCAAAGAATGAGACTTCTGGATCTCAAAGGACAGAACCATAGTTTCCTGGGTTTCAAAGATTATAATCTTCACTAGTTTGGTTCTGGAGCCTGTGTTGTTGTTGTTAGGTGCTATCCATTCAGTACTGACACGTAGTGGCTCTATGCAGAACAGAATGAAACACTGACTCAACCTCACAATTGTTGCTGCATTTGAGCCCATTGCTGCTGCCACTGTCCCAGTCCATCTCACGGGGGGAGTCTTCCTATTTTTCTCCGACCCTCCACTTTACCAAACATGTTATCCTTTTCCAGTGAGAGGTCTCTTCTGACAAGGAGAAAGGAGTCCTGGTAGCATAGTGGATTATGAACTGGGCTGCTAACTACAAAGTCAGCAGTTCGAATCCACCAGTCCCTCTTCAGGAGAAAGATGATTTACACCCTCAGAAACCCTGTACAGGGTCGTTATGAGTTGGAACCTACTCTATGACACATCACCACCATGTTGCTGTTGTTAAGTGCTGTCGAGTTAGTTCTGACCCATAATAACCCTATCTAAAACAGAGCAAAATACCACCCAGTCCTGCACCATCCTCATAATTGCTGTAACACTTGAGCCCATTGCTGCTGCCACTGTGCCAATTCAACTCATTGGGTTGTTGTTGTTTGTTGTTTACCAAGCATGATATCCTTCTCTAGTAATTGGTCCCTCCTAACAATTTGTCCCAAGTATGCGAGATGAAGTCTGGTCATCTTGGCTTCTAAGGAGCAGTCTGGCTGTATTTCTTCCAACACAGACTTCTTTGTTCTTCTGGTAGAACTTGGTACATTTAATATTCTTGTCTAACACCATAACTCAAATACAAAAATTCTTTTACCATTTTTCTTATTCACTGTCCAATTTTCACCCACATATGAGGTCATTGAAAATACCATGGATTGGGTCAGATGCACCTTAGTCCTCAAATTTACATCTTTGCTCTTCAACACTTTAAAGAGGTCTTGTGCAACAGATTTGTCTAATGGAATAAATCATTTGATTTCTTGATTGCTGCTCCATGAGTGTTGATGGTTGATACATATGTGGCTGCCCTTAACATGTGCCAAGAGTAGGGGACCACCACCCAAGACTGAGGGGGCAGGGCTTCTATGCCCAAGATGTAAAAGAAAGGTAGGTCTGGTAGCATAGTGATTACGAATTGGGCTGCTAACCTCAGGGTCGGCAGTTAGAAACTGCCAGCTGTTCCATGGGAGAAAGATGAGGCTTTCTGCTCCCGTAAAGATTTACAGCCTCGGAAACCCTGTAGAGGGTCACTATGAGTTGGAACTGACTCCACAGCACATAACAATAACAACAATAACAACAAAAACCTGCTAGGACACAGCAGTTGGATTCTCCTCTGAGAAGGACTATAATTGGATTGTCCAAAGAAGAAGAAGCAGAGTTGCCATCTAGGTACCCTGGAAGGTGGAGCTAAATCCCAGGGTCAAAATATCTCTACCCAGAAACAAGAAAGCATGGCCAATACCTAGATTCTAGAAAACATGGCCATTACGTAGATAATCTCAGAGAAGAGATCATCTTCAAGTCATCTTGAAAGTTAATATAAATTGTTCTACTGGGTTGGTACTTGCTTCGTGCCTGTTATCACTTGTTTTCCTAAAATTTCTCCTATTTGTAATGGAAATGTCTGCATTATGCCTCTTCCACCACTGTACTTGGGAAACAGGTAACTTGTAATGTACATTTTACAGGTTTACAGATGAAAAGAAATTTTGCCTAAGGGTAGAATATACCATATTTGATTTAGATGATTCAGAAGAGGAGATTTTGGACTTGGAATTGGTTAAGACTTCTGGAATGATGTGATGAGGGTGAATGAGTTTTGCAGTAACCAAAGGGCACAAAGATAGAGTGTTATGCTTGTGTTATGCATGTGGAATATTATAACTGTGGAATGTTTTCTGTGTGGCCCAAGGGGGGCAAAAAGTAGAATATTGTGGAATGAGTTGTGTCCACCATAACTACAAATTTTAATCTTAATCTCTCTGCATGTGGTTATAATTCTATTTGGGAATGTGTTGTCTTTTTTATGTTAATGTGGCACCAGTTTAGTGGTGAGTGTTTATTGAGTCAATTCTTTTGAGATATAAAAGATACTAAACACAAGCTGGCAGCAGAAATGGGAAGAGAGATGCCTAGCCAGCCATTTATCGTATTTATGTTGTAGCAGTACTAGATGACTAAAACAGGATCTGAAAATCATTCATTCAGTAATAATAGAAAATTTCAATGCATGTGGGAGGGTGTGGGATTTATTTTTTAATGTAGAAATTGATTCTAAGTGACCTAATATTTTATCAGTACCCCGAATTATTGAAAGGAGTTGTTTTTATAACCCAGCTCCTCCTTTTCCATCTTATTGCCCCACAACATTTTCTAATTCTGTGAGGAGAGGGCAAAGTTAAAAGAGCTAAAACATTTGAGTCTAAATTATAAACAGTATAAATGCCTACTTTGTAGACATACCCAAACCCACTGCACTTGAGTCAATTGTAACTTATAGCAACCCCATATAGGGTTTCTGAGGCTCAAGTTTTATGGAAACAGATCAGCCTCATCTTTCTCTGGCAGAGTGGCTGGTGAGTTTGAACCACCCATCTGCAGTTAGCAGTCTAATGTTTAATCAACAGCTTTACAGACATAGAATCATAAATATAGAATGAGATTATATCCTCCTTGCTACTTGAAACCCCTTCTTTTACAAACAGAGAAAATAAAAAACATAGGGACATATTCATTTTAGTTCTTAAATGCTTTTCTCAGTTCAGAACTCAAAAGATTGTCTTCTTCCTTTTAACTGATTTAGCATTTCCTATCTAATTCCCTAACCTGGCCTCCTTTTTGGGTAGGAATGCAGATCTATAGACATGTTGCCTATTTATCCTGGAATTATGGTATATTCATTTTTCTTTCTTTTGCAGTATGGAGAACTAATGCATGCTAGTACTGATAAATTAACCCACAGATATCAGAATCCATGGTAAGTACATAATATTATTTTTAAATTGATTAATCTTTCCTTCCTAAATTAGTAACAGGGTTAATTATTTTTTAACTTTGAAGTATTCTGTTGTTGTTGTTGTTAAACACTGTTGAATTGGTTCTGACTCACAGTGACCATGTATAGGGTTTCCAAGGAGCAGCAGGCGGCTTTGAACCGCTAATATGTAGTGCAACACTAGGGGAAGTTTGAAGTATTTGTTGTTGTTGTTAAGTGTCATCGAGTCAATTACGACCCATAGCGACCCTGTATAGGGTTTTTCCGAGGAGCACTTGGTGAGCTTGAACTGCCGACCTTGCCGTTCAAAAAACGGCTTTGCAGTCAGGTGTATTAACCCACAGTGCCACACCAGGACTCCAGTTTAGAGTATTGTTGTTGTTGTTGTTATGTGCCCTGGAGTCGGTTCCGACTCATAGCGACCCTACATAGGGTTTCCGAGGCTGTAAATCTTGACGGGAGCAGACCGCCTCATCTTTCTCCTGCGGAACTGCTGGTAGTTTTGAACTGCTGACCTTACGGTTCGCAGTCCGATTCGTAACCACTATGCTACCAGAGCTAGAACCACTTTATTTCTTGTATTTCATGTAGGCTTTGAGGGGAAAAGGTGTTTTATCCTTAATAAACACTTAATAATTTTTAACTCTCTACTAGGTTTAATTGGAGTCCTGGTGTGGCGTTGTGGGCTAATGCGTCAGACTGCAAAGTCGTTTGAACTGCAAGGTCAGTGGTTCAAGCTCACCAAGTGCTCCTCGGAAACCCTATACAGGGTTGCTATGGGTCAGAATCGACTCGATGGCACTTAACAACAACAACAACTGTGTTTAATTAAGGGGAAAAGATGTAAAGTAAATATAGTTAGAGTAAGGAACACACTGTAGTGGACAGAAAACAAACCTGCTGCTATTAAGAATAGCAACTGGATGAGTGGATTCACTTGAACTATATATATATATTTGAAAAAAAAATTTGTTGCAAAAAATAAATTCATTTCATGCTGTTGGCTTTGAAATTTTCATAATGGATAATTAGGGATAGTAAGTATAATCCTACTGAAGTCATGTAGTGGCTTGAATTAGTATAATTTTAAGGCAACCCCTAAACTAAACTAAACATGTCTGACTTAAGTTATGTTAAGTTACTGGAAAAGAGCATTATTGAGGCTTGTCTTCTAGATTCCTAAGAGAGAAAGGATTAATCAGCATTACTCTTATAAAACTGCAGATTCAATATTGTATTCATTATTCTTAAATTTTTGGAGGTGAGTATTTCTGAAGCCTACTTCACCTCATTTTAAATTATTGGAGTGGACGTCTATTTGCCTGTAGAAACGTATTGGATTTTAGCCTTGTTCTATGATATAGCAACAGCATAAACCATCACACACAGATACAAGCCAACTCATATAGAAAGATTAATAGTTACTACAACACAAGTCCAGGAAGATAAACAATCTTATTGGGTAATTCCTAAAAGTTATAAAGTATATCCTATTTTTAGGGTTATGAAAAATAGTTGCACTTTTTTGCTTGAAAAGAACATGTTCTCATTAAAATACCCTACTTCTTTGTTCAGATAACATTGTCCCAGGGCAGGAATTGATCTCTTTTTTGCAAAGGTATCTAACTGGAAATGCCTTATCAAATATTTCCAAGTGAAGAAAAACATCAAATGTCACTGAAAATCAATGACATTTCAACCAACATTGGTGATAAACATATAAAAATTTGCTGTATTTATTTAGACAAAAAAACTTACTAGAAAGAAGCTGAGAAATACTGAGAATGTGGACACTTTCTTGATTCAAAAAATGTTTACACTAATTTCTAGGAAACATGTTATATATACTGTGCCAGAGCATGAGGATATAAAACATTTATGAAAAGGACCTTGTATTAGACAGGCAGACCAAGACAATGACAGAGACAGATGCTTCATAAGGACCCTCTTGCAACAAACACCTGAGAAAGCAATTGAATCAGATATAGATAACAATTTTGGAACCCTGAACCATCAAAGGCAATGCTGAAGAATTGAAGGAGAGACTGTACAAAAACACCAGATACAGAGAATTATGAAACACTGATGACCTGCCAGCTGAACTTTCACAGTGCAGTCAAATTGAGACAAAGCAAACACTGTTCCCAGCTATAGTTCCTATCACCTAGTACAGACAAATAGGAGTGAGTTTGCATCCACATCCAGCACCAGACAGAAGTGAAAAAATTAAGTGCACTCTCTGTGAAAAAATTAAGTGCACTCACTTCTTCCAGCAAGTTTGTCAGACCCCTATAAACTATCCCCTTCCCCCTGCATATGATCATGATCTGGCAGCACCTACTGAAACCCAGCCCCTTGAACAGGAGGCCCACTGACCATCAGTGCCTGCCACATTCACTGGGAACCCATGGTTCAGCATCACCAGCCTTACCCTAAGTCCACAGAATGTTGGAACCTGCTCTTATTCCCAGCTTCCTAAAATGAGGGACTGGCAGTGTCTACTGCTCTGTCCAGCCACTGATGCCAGGAGCCTGCAAACTAGAGGCACCCAACTTTATGCCAAGTCAGCCATGTTGTGGGCCTACAGATTAGCAGTGCTTCCTCTTCCCTGTCCACCTGGGACCATTGAGGAGGGTGTCCATAATACCCATTCGGGAGACTGATGATTCTGTCACCATTGCTCCAACCACCCTGCAAACTGCAGTGCACACATACATCATCCAACCCAGTGACCAAAGAGATTGTGTCAGGTGGCTCACCAGACAAACATCAACCATGTCAGCTAACTTCTTAGCCACTCCATGAGATAAGTAAACAGAACTCTGGCTCACACAACCAGCTGCTGCCCTACCCACCCAGAGACATGTGGTGAGAGTCCCAGTGCCCCAAATTAGTGATCAGAGTAGCATACATACCCCATTTACTCTTATATATCAAGGCAAATCAAAATAAGATCTTAGAACACAGTATACAAACAGAATAATTAAATATAATAACACTGCAATGCCTTAGAGACACGAGACAATATCAAATTACATAAAGAAGCAGGACAAGGTGGTTCCAGAAAATGACAAAAACAAAGAACCAGAAAATGTTGAGAGGAAGAATTGGTCATGGAACCACCTGATAAAAAACTCAAAACACTAACATATAGGGTTCTCCAAGAGATCAAGAGAGAGGCCAAGGAAAACACAGACAGAATGAATGAAAACACAGACAAAGCAACAGAAGAATTCAAGAGAACAATGCAATAACAAAATGATGAAATAAATAGATAAATAGAAACCTTACAAAAACAGCAACTATAAATCCAAGAAATTAACAATAAAGTTTTAGAAACAGACAACTCAATAGGTCAGAGGAGGAGAACTGAGTCAATGGAAGACAGAATCAGAAAAATAGAGGGAAAATCTTTTGACACCAAGTTGCTTGAGAAAAATTAAAAGCAAAAATCAAAGAAGAATGAGGGAAACCTAAGAATTATCAAGAGAAAGAATTTGCACATGATTGGAATTCCAGAACAGGAGTAGACAAAAATAAATAAATGAAATAACAGAATTGTAGATTTATTGACAGAAAACTTCCTTAATATCATAAAAGTTTGGAAGATATCCTTCCAAAAAATTCAGTGAATCTCATTGAGGATAGACCTCAATGGAAAGTCATATCATAATCAAACTTGCTATTTCCAAGGACAAAGAAAGAATCCTCAGAGCTGCTTGGGGAAAATGAACAGTCACTTTCAAAGAGGAACTACTAAGACTAAGCTCTGATTACTCAGCAGAAATTACCTGGGCAAGAAAGTAGTGTCATGACATATATAAAATTTTAATAGAAAGAATTGCAAAACAAGAATTGTATAGATAGAAAAATTGTCAATCAAATATGAAGGTAAAATTAGGATATTTCCAGAAAAACAGAAATTAAGAAAATTTGTAAAAACTAGACCAAGCATACAAGAACTATTAAAGGGAGTCCTTCAGACAGAGAACCAATATCAGACAACAATCAGACGATGAGACAGATGACAGCATTAGCCAGTACCAAATCAGATAAAGAATTATCAAAAATAAACCAAGGAAGATAGCACCAGAATATTGAATATTGAAACAGTATGAATCATGCCAGAATATTGTCAGATGCAGTGCTGGATGATGAGTCCCTCAGATTGGAAGGCACTCAAAATATGACTAGGAAAGAGCTGCATCCTCAAAGTAGAATTGGCTGTGATAACATGAATGGAGTAAAGCTTTTGGGGCCTTCACTTTATGTACTTTCACTGATGGTACATAACTCAAAATGAGGAGAAAGAGCTGTAAACATTCATTAGTAATAAGAACATAGAATGTAGGGTATATGAATCTAGGAAAATTGGAAGTTGTCAAAAATGAAATGGAACACAAAAAAGATCAATATGCTAGGCAACAGTAAACTGAAATGGACTGTTATTGGCCATTTTGAATCTGACAGTAATATGGTTTACTATGCCAGGAAGGACAAATTTAAGAGGAATGGCATCATACTCATAATGAAAAAGAGGATTTCAAGATCTATCTTGAAATCTGTGATATGATATCTTGCTGTCTGTGATATGATAATATTCATACGCCTACAAGGAAGACCAGTTAATACCACTAGTATTCAAATTAATGCATCAATGACTAAAGTCAGTGATGATGAAATTGAATAATTCTATCAACTTCTCAAGTCTGAAATTGATCAAAGATGCAATCAAGATTTATTGATAATTGCTGGTGACTGGAATGCAAAGGTTGGAAATAAAGAGAAAGGATAAGTAGGTGGGAAATATGGCCTTGATGACAGAAGTGATGCTGGAGTTTACAGGATAAGAATTTTGCAAGACCAATGAGTTCATTGCAAATGCCTTTTAAAAACAACATAAAAGACAACTATACACATGAGCCTCACCAGATGGAATATACAGAAATCAAATTGACTACATCTGTGGAAAGAGACAGTGG